CACTCCCGGACACTGAAATCCAAAGTCTACTGGCGCACAGTCTTCATAGGCGCAGTGAGGGTGTTTGCTGTCCGTCTATTGCCGGCGATTCTAGCAGGCGGACTGGGCCATTAATCTGTCCAAACCTTATTCATTGCTGCGAGCCTGGTTCTCGAGAAGACAATTATGTACGCTGAACTTTGCTGACCAGAATCCATTAATCGTCGGTCGGTCGGCTGGCTGCTTCCAGCACCACCACAAACGCCTGCTAAATTGGTGTTGAAAGGATGGTCGTATGGCCTACCAGAGCTCGTGCAGAGATCCAGGGTTGAGTTTGCGATAGCAGATCGATAGCGGCGGTAAAACTGGCAAGATCTAGGCATCCGACCAGAGTACAGTTCACAGATGCCTGAAAGTTCATCTCTCACCAGTGCCCAAATTGTCATGTGCAGAATGCCGTCACGTCGCACAATTACCACAAATCGGCAGTGCCGAGGCCCTGAGCGCAGAAGTCTGGTCTTGCTTTGCAAACCGAGTCAAAAGGAGAAGGCATTAAGAAGTGGTCATAGCTGAAGGCAACAGTCCGTGCGAGGGCTGAGACAATTTTTGAATTTCAGTTGACGCTTTTTTGAAAAAACTCGAGGCATTCGGCGGGATTTGAACCTGCGTACTAGGGAAGGCCTTTACCGGAAGCCAACGCTCTAACCACCTGAGCTACAAATACCCCACCTCACCTTGAGTTTTTTTCACAATTGGGTCAACTCAAATTAAACAAATCTGCCAAACCTCCCAATAATTAAGTCAGCCTGGTAGTCATTCTGGTGGATTCTACATGATTGCTTAGGAAATCCTGCTTGGGCAGTCAGCTTGCTGTTCCGTATTGGCATGAGCGGTAAAGTTGGGCGGGTAAAAGTCGACCCAAGTGTGATTCATTTCATGGCGCCAGGTGGGGCGTTTGTAGCTCAGGTGGCTAGAGCTTTGGCTTCCGGCAAAGGCCTTCTCTGATGCGCGGGTTCAAATCCTGCCGGGCGCCTCGAGTTTTTTCACAATTGGGTCAACTCAAATTAAGCTAACCTGCCAAACCTAATAATTTTTGAATTCACCCAGCTGTGCCGCCGTAACTGAATTAACCGACAGGGATTTTACAGTCGGAATAACGCCCTTCAAGGATTATGCTTTCCCAAACTCCGAGGAATTACGGGGCAAAGGTGGTGGGAGACTAGTGCAGAGGTTGTAAAAGCAAACCCCTACGAAGCAGGCCTCAAAACTCGGCAACATTTGCAAAACTCTACTAAATTATTCGTTAAGTTAATGAGAGGTTCTCTGTGCGTGGAGCAGTTGTTTACAGTCTCTTGTTCCCAAAGATTAGGGCGTTAAAGTGTGATTTACCAGGGAGTTCCCAGGCTTGCGCGTCAAGGGTGTGGCCGGCCAACGACAAAGATATTGAATAAGTCTGAACTAGAAATTCCCGCCCCTGTCCTTTCTGTCAGTAACATTTCTCAAGGCGAAGTAAACTCAAATTCAGACCGATCTTATGAAATTTTAACCGACGTTCTAAAAATGTCATTTTTTCGATTATGAAGACCTTCTTAGGAGTGGTTGTAACAGCGATCATCTTTCGGCACAAATCCCTGATATCTCAGATATTGCAGGATGCAAAAACTGCATCTGGTGAAAAATGCCTACTTAAATAGTATTCCGTTTTTCTACTGATGCTCAATGCCCTAATAAATTCAAATATATTTTATAGAAATCAACTGCTGAAAAGTACCCCTTATCTTACCCATTTGATAGCGAATCATGTCACATTCCCATTTTACACATCCTGCCTTTCGATTGTAAAAAAGGTTCCAATAATGGGCTGTTCAAAGACCATACAATATTCATTCAAAGTGCATCGCATCGGTTCAGGTTTGAAGTCCTGATGAAGTAAACAACATAATCCATATCCATTGTAAAATTGGATGGAGACTGTAGATTATCTTCTTAATGGCATGAGGTAATGTACGCTTTTTCTTTTCGTGGAAAACATACAGCTATTAAACTGAAAATTCTAAATGCAAATGTAATGGTAAAATCGGGAATAAAAATATGTGGAAATTGGAAAATATTTTTAAAACATAAGTATGCGCGTCTTTTGAATATGAAACTTGAAGAAGACGTGCTTTTTTTACTAAAATAATGAAAGAAAGAATATGATTTCACACGTTTCCTAGAAAATATACTCGAATTTACGAGGGCGTCAAAAATATATATAAAAACGGCCTACTACTAAAGTAGTCCTTTTTACCAAGGGCATTTTCGGCAAGCGGATGAAGACTTGCATTCAAAAGCTGGCATCCCATCATGTCTGAAATATTTCGGGACGGTGCTGTAAGGTAACCAATATTACAACCCTATTGAAGTAATCCTTTCTGATCGAGAACAAATTTCAGAATGTGGATTCACATTTCGCAAGATCGGTCACTAACTGTAGATATTACTCTGTGGTGTCGGGCAGCCAGTATTCGAACCCCAATGCGTCAACCGATTAGTCTGCAAACTTCCTCTAGCGCAAAATCAATTAATAATTTAATAATAATCATGACAATTTGCTCTTCAACTGATTCGGCTATTTAAATATTAAGAGGAGTTCTGGAAAAAAGCCAAAACCCACCGATGGCATCCTCGTCTTCCGGCGACAATTCCTTGCCATTGGCAGCGGCCTCGGCTCGAGAAGCTTTTTGCAGGTCGATTAGCTGTAAAAGGGATAAAAGCGTAGGAGTTTAAAAATTTGACACTGACGGTTAAGATGGGCGTTTATAAACGTCAATAAATGTGTGAATCTTTATCTTAGAAGGGGAAAGTATGCGGCAAAAAACCAAAAGCAGTAATGCTGTACCCATTCGGCCACGTACGGGGAAAACATTCTTACTTAAAGATACTATCATAGAATGCAGCCACTCCGAAGGTCAGTGTCAGGGGCAGACATTTCTAGTAACCAAAAAAGCACTTTCCGTGCTGTGACCACGCACAAAACCTGCATACAAATGCGAAACCACCAGCCAGTGCATATAGCGTCTTGGGTTATATATTAGGTGATATCCCCTTTTTGGGCCACTTTTTACTCCCGTTTACATAATATGGCTTCTCTTTATCGCGACTAACGTGGTATTGCGGATGTGACTGAATTCGGTAGCGAGGGAGGCTAAAGATAGCAAAATATTTTCCCTAATGGAAGAAAGGCTGCGATTGTCCACTGCTTCATAGTTTGAACGACATCTCGAAAAGGCTGTCGTGCTGAAGATTGTTAAAAAAATTCTGACGAGAGGATAATAGACAGGTAACATCTGCTATCAACGAAAAACGCCCTTAAAAGAGGCGTAACTAGGAGTAACGTTCAGCTAGACACTGCATAATGCAGCGCTTAGGGAAAGGCATACGAAACGGACAGATGGAGAAACGTATAGTTAACGGGTCGCCTTGAGCTTTATGCTTTTAGTGGAACAAAAGAGAAAAGGGGGATAGCAGAAACAGGCGTCAGCTTTGGAGTTGAGGTTAAAAACAGCAAAAATGCTGTCCAAGTTAGGTTTTAAAGATCATTCTAACCACAGATTACTCAGCCCGGAGAAAGAAGATTTTCCGTTTAAAAACAATCCGTCAGAGGAAGACAAAAGAGACTCAAGAATATAAAGAGTTCCTAAATATCAGAAAGCTAGTTTTTAAATAGACAGTTTTAAAAGAGGCGGTAGGGACTGGGAGTGACGAACCTGTTCGATCTGCCGCTGCTGGTGTATGGCCTGTGACTGTTGCACGTTCTCAATGTAATACTGGAAGTACTGCTCCTGCATCTGGGCAATCAACTCCTCCTGCTGGAAGAGCAGAGATTATGAAAAGTATCAGAGAAGGGAGAGAGGGAATAGCTACCTTTTCTGGTTCTTTTGGATGCTGTTCCTGTGCATATTGGCGAAACTGTATGATGCTTTGCTGGTCTAGAATAGAACGGATGGCAGCCCTGTAAGATTGCAAAATGAAAACAAAAGCCGGTTGACTTACTCCTCACGTTCGCTCTCCTCAAAGTCGGCCTGTGTCTGAGCTTCATCACTCTCTTCCCCATCGTTTTGCTTTGTGGCATTGGTTGCAACGGCATCAGCATCTGGTTGATTTGCATCCAGAAGAGTCGGTCGGGAGGGCTCTAAGGATGCGGGCACTATGGAGACCGGAGAGCTTTCCATAACTAGACAAAGATGTGAGAAACGGATTATCCGTGAGGAGTACGGTAGAACTACATTGTGTGCCGCCTTAATGGCCAACTCGGTTTATGTTGGCTTACTTAAGATTGCAGTCACACAACCAGTCGCTATTTACTGAACAATGTAGGCGGTTTTTTAGCTTAAAAGTGTTCTGTGCTTAGCAGATCTGACAAAAGCTGTAGAAAAATCTGAAAAAAGTGCAAGTGCATTACCAGATGCCCTCCGGACCGATTTTGAAGGCATCTGGCCACCAATGAACAAAATTAAAACTTCAAAATAGGTCCCGATAAAATGCTGGTAGTAAGAACACTTACTTCGAGGTCTCCATCATCGTTAATGTTTGAGAAATTGTTTGAGCTGTATCAGGATTTGATCAATACAATAAACCACCTTAGTACCTGACCGTGGAGTCCTAAGCCAACCACACTAGTCAAAATTAGACAGGCTAGGCTAATTACAGGCACTATAAACACACCGCGTAGAACAGTAAACTAACTTCCTCGACGGCACTATGACTACTCTCGCCTATAGAGAAGTATGAATGCATGACGAAACCCTGTAGGAAATGTTAGGTTTTCACGTTTAATTCACATTTGACTCGGTTAGATGGCTCTCGTCGCTCTATAAATGCGTAATAAACAGGAGCCCAGCGCTGGCATTCAAAGTGCTTTATTAGCTTCTTGTAACTTTTATAAGCCAACTCGCTAGATCAAAGGACACTCATGCCTGGCTGCGATCACCAACCACACATTTGTTGCGCGTTCATTCGCTTAGTGTTAAGCGGTCTGAACTTCGAGCATCCATCCAGGGGATGCGCAAAAAAACCCCAAACCATCACAACAACCGAAGTTTGATCTAAGAATTTCAAAAACCAAGGATGCATTTACTTCGTGCAGCACAAACACAAAGTTTCGAATGAACCTTCAAGAGGCATGGTGAGGTTGAAGGATGTGGCGTAAATTTAAGAGAGGATCGGAAGCAAACGAACACGTTATTTTATTACAAGCCACACCAGCAACCAGAAAAGGAGGGATACGAAATTACTGAAGATGGTGTCAGTTAGGTTTCACTTCGAGAAATTCAGTTGTAAACCTGTCAGGTTTTATGGTCCTGTGGAGTATATCTTGAGCAAGCAAGGTAAAGGTGTCTAGAGGTGCTGTACATTTCGGCTAAGCAGGTAACTTGAGGCTCAAACGTTTTTTAGTTTGACGTTAGTTAGTTTTACTATCCCAACTATACTAGGTGTGACCAGAGAAAAGAACGCTTGTCTATCTGCTTAGCAGCTAGCATTTACGTTGATTTAACAGACTCTAGAGTATGCGACATCACGTATTGGTGCAGCATTCGTTCGGCAATTGTTAGTTGGATCTTTATAATTGTTAATCAGTCTGCAAACGCCAAACAGTTGTGTCCAGCATTACATCAGCTCGTGTTTTAAAACGGACACCACTGGCTTGGCGCCAGCTTGGAAGGCAATTCGGAGAGACTTCCTTTGAGTCAACGCTTGCAATGCAGACTGGACAGTCAACAGTCTACTTACGGATTCCATTACAACATAACCGATCTGGAATGAGCTCCAAATTCGGGACATTACCGAGGATCCTAACCTTTTCTCCTGAACCACCAGTTGTCAAACAGCTAGGTCTCCTATAGGTCAGAAGCGCATAAAGACCATATGTTTTAGCCCCAAAAGCAGAACGCACTGCGTTCTAGCTTTATGTATGTTACTATTTTCTTCTGCGGAATCTTTTAGTAAGATCACAGGCACATGAAAGAAGGTAGAACATAATGTGCGCCAGTTATATGGCGGTTTTTCTCTGCTTAACACTGAATTAAGGGTAACAGAAAATATCGGGAATAAACGAAATATTCTGATATATAAAGACTTTAAAATTCAACCGGGAAGATATCGTTTGTGATGTGAAGCAACCAAACAGCATGACGATTTTCTTAGTGTTCAGATTCAGATCAGATATGCGAACCGCAGGGATTAGTCGATCTGGTGTGGATTTTATTACCGCAATGAAATTTCTTTGAGACATACGTTCAACATCTAATGAAGGTCTGTGTTTATCTGGATTCCCTCGTCCTCCTAAAGTGTACTAGACAGACGCGAGTTTGTCACAAAGAGGACAGGCGTAGGGATTAATTCTTATTGGGGGACAATGGCGACAGGTAGACACCCGTTCTCCTCAACTTGGGCCTAACCTTTTAACAGGGTGCCTTGATATTAATTCCTGTTTAAATAAATGGGCATTGGAGGCATGCCACTAGCCACCGTGAACTCCCAGTGTGTTGCAGTTTGCTGAGTCAAAAGCCGCAACAAACACAGAAACTGAGAAAAGCCTTTCGTTGAGAACAATTTCACAGTTCTGAGAGTCGAGGTAGGATTTATATTTGGTCGACAAAGCCCCTGACAAAGCGGAAAACTCGCAGCTTTTTGTCGTTTAACCGTCCCGAAAAAAGATTTTTGTGAACGACAGTAAGGATCTTCGGGACGACCCCAAAAATAATGGTGCCTCCTTACTTCCGAAATGCCATGCGGTCTACCAACTTCAATCAATGAATTAGAACGGGGCTGCCCCATCCTCATGGCATAGATGGCATGCAACACGGTGAAGTATATTCTATGGAATCTCAGAGGAGGCATAACATCTCTCGTAGACTGTATTTGGCAGTTCCCTCTCAAAAGCGTTACATTGCCACCCTAAGTTCGGCAAAAGGGCGTGGCACGAGTTCCAGAGAGGGTTATAGGGGGGGGGAGCTGC